GGCACCACAAGCTCGTCCACCAGCTGGCTGAGCTGGCTACGCACGGCCTGGCGGTTCTTGAGCCGCAGGTTCATGGCCACCGACTGCTCCTGTAGCGTCTGGATCTCGCAGCTGATGCTGCTTAGGTCACACTGGAAGGAGCTCAGCATCTGCTCCATGCGCTGCGGGGGGAGGGGGGACAGGGGAGACGACACCAGTCAGAGACATGGACTGCAGACAGTGCTCTGGGGAGAGTTTGGGGGCATCAGGAGGTTGTGGGGGGCCCCATGGGGTTCCAGGTCTCACCTCCAGGATGGTAACCCAGGCAGTGACCTAAGGGTGGGGGGCTGGAGGGGTGGGGGCCCCAGGGGGTTCAGAGGCTCACCTCCAGGATGGCGTCACAGGCGGTGATCTGGTTGTGCAGGGAGGTGATGTTCTTGCTCTCCTTGATGTCTGCAGGGCAGGCAGGTTGCTAAGGAAATGGGCATGGGGGGCCCAGCCAGCCAGGCAGTGGGGGGAATGCTTGGGAGAGGCCCTGGGAGGGCCACTTTCCTCTTTCTCCTGGGGAGGGGTTTGGCCCTTGACACCCTCTCTGCCAGTGTGGAGGGAGACACCCCGGGGTATGAAGCAGTACAGCCAGGGTGCAAGGACCTCCCCCTGACACTGAGATCTCCCCCCACCTGCCCCCTCCCCCCACCCACACTGTGTGGGCTCTTGGGGGACTCCGCGGGGCAGGATACAGTCCCGGATGGAGGCGTGCTCAATGTGCTGCAGCTCCAGTTCCACCTGCTTGGAGTACTGCCGCAGATCCACGCCCTGGAGAGAGAGGGGAGAGTCACCTGGGCAGTGGGGGCTCCGCTGGGCCCTGCCCCAGGAGAGGGAGGAGGGGGACAACTTACTGTCTTCAGCGCCTCCTGAACCAGGGAGTCCTCCAGGTTGGCTTGGATGTGAACTGGGGGAGGGGAGACCGGGTCAGTTCCCATAACAGTGGTCCCCCAAACCCACCTCCCCACAGTACCCCCACCCCACAGTGCTCCCCCACCTGCCTACATCCACCCAAACTACTCCTGGCCTCCCCCACCTCACGGCCTTCCCCCCACTTTCCCAGATCACTGTCTGCCCCCCACTGGTTGCTGTGCAGGGGTAAGCCCGCCCACCCGCCCCACACACACACATACACACACACACATACACATACACACACTTACTGTCCACTTCATCCAGGATGAACTCATCTGAGGTGAGGTCCAGGTCCCCCAAGTTCAGCTGCAGCGACTGCTCCTCTCCACGGCCCTAGGGAGTGCAGGTCAGGCTGTTACGGGGGACTGTGGGGGAGCAGTGAGCTCCAGCAGGCTCTGGTGAAGGGGTCTTGGAGGTACACCCAGTGACCAGGCTAGGCAGGCCAGAGGCTGGGGGGTATAAGTGCTATAGAGGTTCAGGGACTAGAACTCAGGGTTACAGGGGGTGGGCTAGGAACAGAGGGACAAGTGGGGGGTCAAGGAGGGAGCACAGAACGTAGGGCTCACTGCAGAGATCAAAGACTACGGGGACACGGAATAGGAGCTATATGGTGTGGGGCACAAAAAGGGGCCAGTGGGGTTCTATCACCCATGAAACAGGAGGTCCCAGGGTCATGGGGGGCAGTGTGGGGTCAAAGATGGCAGCTGAGGGTGGATTCAGGGGATATGTACCAAGGGTGGATGGATGGGGATA